ATGATGATGATGATGATGATGATGGGATGGAATCTCTGGCCTTCTTATGTGCAAAGAATATATTCTGTCTTTGAGATGTGCTGCAACCCAAAGCCACTTTGTCTTCTTTGAGCAGGGTTTGCTTGAAATTTAATTCTGAGCTCTCTCACAGGGCCTGTCTAGAAGATGTTCTAGTGTTTCAGAAGGAAAAGAGACTTGAGTATTCACATTAAAGCAGTGTAAATTTTTCTGCAGTTTAGGACAGCCTTCCTCAGCCCAGTGCCCTTCAGGTGTGTTGCATTTCAGCTCCCATAATTGTAGACATTTTACCCGGGTGTAGGGTATCAGAAGTTATAGTCCAACGCATCTGAAGGGCACCAGGCTGAAGAAAGACGGGATAACGGGAATGATGCTGTGATATACTTGTGATATGTGAGTACTGGGTGTTTTTCTTCTTCTTCAAATGAATGGGAGCAGCCAGTAGTCCTCCAGATGTTGCTAGATTGCTGCTCCTATCAACCCCAGCCAGCATGGCAAATGATGAAGGATGATGGGAGTTGTCGAGCAACATTTGAAGGGCCACTCCTTCTGCAGATCATGGCTGAGGACATGCAAAGGAACACTCTTGATTTATTTTGGAATTCACTTAGTTCTCCTTGTGTTACCATATCTTTCCCTGTATAAAATGACACTTTTTCCTAAAATAATTAAAGGACAAATTGAGGGTCGACACGGAAGGAAGCAGTCGCACGCGTGCTCGAGCATCTCTTGCTGCCGCCGCCACTACCCAATTGCCTCTTCCAGAGCTCATGGCTTGTCCCCTCCGGGGGCCGAGGCAGCAGCAGGAGGCGAAGGAGCAGTTACACGCACTCGAGGGCCTCTTGCTGCTGCCTGCCCCGCCTACCCGATCACCTCATTCAGTGGGATTGATGGGCCTCAGCTCATGTCGCCATCTTGTCCCCTCCAGTGCTGGAGGCAGCAGGAGGTGCAGGCAAACAAACACTCTTGGGCGCCTCTTCCTGCTGTTGCTGCTGCCGGATCACCTCCTCCAGCAATCGTCTCCGTAGGGCAGGCAGCGAGGTGAGCTGGAGGTGAGCCCCAGCAGTTGCACTGGAGAAGGTGATCAGGCGGGAGTGGAGAAAGCAGCAGCAGGAAATGGAGGTGGAGGAGCAGTTGCCCATTAATTGTTCCTCCACCTCCATCATGGGCCAAAATTAGGGGGTGATTTTAAACATTGGGGGGGGGTCGTATACACAAAAAAGTATGTATGTCAAAAAGAGAGCTGTATTAAGCAAAAAAATGTTTAGGAGTAATGTGTAAACTTTCTTTAAATTGAACTCAGTTGGCATCATGGGATCTTAATCATACAATCCTCTGAAAGAAACAAACATTCCTTTTTGTCCTCAAAAACTGGAAAAATGTAAAGTTCTAGGAGATTATGATAATAGTAATTTTCCTTAGTCATAAGGTTGTTTTTTTTTACATTTTAGTTTTCTTTGGGTTGGTTATTGGTTATTATCATAGCAATTTATCATTCTGGTGTTTTATTGTAGTGTTTGATTTTATGGAAGCCTTGGGAAGGCTTTTAAAGGAGGCTTAAAATATGTTAAGGAATAATAAATAATAAAAACTATATTGGTTACAGAACTCCAGCTTGACCTGATTTATCTGATTTTGTTGATTTTGGAATCTGCAAGAGTCTGGGAAGCAAAATGTTTTAGATGAGAGAGAGTTTGTATTTTCAATCTGTAACAAAGTTAACATGCATTTTCTTACTCCTTCCTTTACTTTTCTGATTTCACATAGTAAAAATTACAGATGCATCAAAGATGGTCATTTTTAAAGCTGCTAATACACTGTGCACCTGTGTCTTCCTCTTGTGTCATATAGGTCACCTCCTGGACTCATTTGCCCGGTCAGCTCTATGGGATCAAGGCTTAGATTACTTGCATGGCACAGGACATGGGGTTGGTGCCTTCTTGAATGTCCATGAAGGGCCATGTGGTATTAGCTACAAAACATTTGCAGATGAACCTCTGGAAGCTGGGATGATTGTTTCTGATGGTAATTTAAATCATTTATTTTGACGGCCGTATCAACCAGTGTAGAACCTGTGTATACTATTATTCTTCTTCGTGGCCTCTGTGAATACACACATATGGGTTTAGTCTGCGCCTGCGCTGACATTCTCGGAGCATTCCAGAGCTAAAAGTAACAATTTTATGGTATGATCCCCCATGAGGCACAAGCTCCTCCCACCCAAGATTCCCCTCAGTTCCTTTTTTCCGCCGTGCTGTAAAGTTCTACAGAGCATAGAGCTATTTCCACAGGGGTTTTTCCCCTTAGCTTATTGATCAATTCCCTCTAAATTGGATTCTTTCCCTTCTCAATTATCTAATCTATGATCCCCCGTGAGTTGTTTTCTTTTTTGCTTGCCAGCTACTTGGCTTACCCCCCTCCCCCACACACACACTTCAACTGTTTGCTTCTTTCTCCTTTCCCGCCTTTTTCGGCCTACTCATTTTGACTCTCAGGCACATTAATGATTTTCTGCCTAAGTAAGCTACATCTTACCCAGATAGGTGCAGGCCGCAGTAGGGGACCCGACAATGCCAAGGAGTCCTTAAAATCTAAGTCTACATCAACAGAGGAATCCTCGCCAGAGGCTAGCGAATTTGCCTCTGAGGAGACGACGTGCCAGCTCTACCTGCACAGACTCCGGGATCGCCT